ACTATACCGCACAGTGATAGGATAATACCCATATGCCTACAAGGAAGATAAGTTAGTATTACTAATATTCAAATTTATGTACCAACTGCTAAAGCCAAAGATGAAGAAATGAAAGATTTTTATAAACTTCTCCAGTATGAAATTGACCAAATGTGCAATCAAGATGCATTGATAATTACCAGAGATTGGAATGAGAAATTTGGAAACAAAGCACAAGCATTGGTAGTTGGAAAATATGGCCTTGGTGATAGAAATGACACTAGAGATCACATGAGAGACTTTTGCAAGACATATGACTTATTCACTGCAAAAATCTTTTTCAACAATGTCAACAGTGACTATACAAAGGGACCTTGTCAGATGAAATACATAGGAATGAAACCAACTACATCTGTGGAAAGATATGATGGAGAAGCTCAATATCATCAGTAAGAACAAGGCCATAGCCCGTCATGACCGTCATGACATCAATTGCTCATATGTAAGTTTCAATTTCAACTCACAGTGACCCCTCCTTGGGTTTCTGAGGAAGTATCTCTATAGAAATAGATTGCCCAATCTTCCTTCTGAGGAGTGGCTGGTGGCTTTGAACCATCAGCCTTCTGGTTAACAGTCAAATGTCTTAGGTACTACACCACCAGAGCTCCAACAAGTTTAAATTGAAGATGAAGAAAATAAGACAAGTACACAAGAGTGAAAATACAACCTTAAGTATAGCCTACCTGAATTTAGAGACCATCTGAAGAATAGATTTTATGCATTGAACACTCATGACCCAAGGCCAGAAGAGTTGTGCAATGACATCAAGAGCACCATACAAAAAGAAAGGAAAAAAAAGTCATTAAAAAGACAGAAAAAGAAAAGAAGACCAAACAAGATGTCTCAGATAGATCTTGGCTGAAAGCAAAGAATACCTGAAAAGATGTTTCACTGTGCTTTGACTTTGCAAAGGCATTTGACTGTGTGCATCATAACAAATTATAGATAACACTGCACAGAATGGGAATTCCAGAACACTTAATTGGGTTCATGAGGACCTGTACATGGACCAAAAGGCAGTTATTTGAACAGAACAAGGGGATAGTGCATGGTTTAAAATCAGGAAAGGTGTGTCAGGGCTTTATCCTTTCACCATACTTATTCAATCTGTATGCTAAGCCAATAATCTGAGAAACCGGACTATATGAAGAAGAATTTGGCATCAGAATTGGAGGAGGACTCATTAACAACCTATGACATGACAGAACCTTGCTTTCTGAAAGTAAAGAAGACTTGAATCACTTATTGATGAGGATCAAAGACTACAGTCTTCAGTAAGGCTTACACTGTAACCTAAAGACAACCAAAATCCTCACAACTGCATCAGTAAGCAACACCATGATCAACGGAGAAAAGACTGAAATTGTCAAAGATTTCATTTTGCTTGGATCTACCTATCGACACTCATGGAAGCAACAGTCAATAAATCGAAGAAAGTATTACACTGGACAAATCTGCTATAAAAGACCTCTTAAAGGTGTTAAAAGCAAAGATGTCACTTTGAAGATTGAGGTGCAACTGACCCAAGCCATGGTATTTTCAAGTCTCATATGCATGTGAGCTCCAGTAGCATAGTGCCTAAGGCATTTGACTGCTAATAAGAAGGCTGGTGGTTCAAACCCACCAGCCACTCCTTGGAAGGAAGGTCAGGCAATTTACTTCCGTAGTGATATTGCCTTGAAAACCCAAGGAGGGGTCGCTATGAGTTGGATCCAACTTGACGGCAGTGAGTTTGGTTTTGTATATGCATATGAGAGCAGGACAATGAATAAAGAAGGCTATGTTTGATGGAAGACAGCTATCTGGCCAACTGACTGGAAGAGATCCATATTTGTGCCCATTCCAAAGAAAGGTGATCCCACAGAATGTAGAAATTATAGAACAATATCATTAATAACGCATGCAAGTAAGATCTTACTGAAGATAATTCAGAAACGTTTGCAGCAGTATATTGACAGAGAACTTCCAGAGGTTCAAGCCGGATTCAGAAGAGGACGTGGAACAAGGGATATCATAGCTGCTGTCAGATGGATCTTGGCTCAAGGCAAAGGATACCAGAAAGATGTTGACTTGTGTTTTATTGACTATGCAAAGGCATTTGATTGTGTGGATCATGACAAATTATGGATAACATTGAGAAGAATGGGAATTCCCGAGCACTTTATTGTACTCATGAGGAATCTGTACCTTGACCAGGAGGCTGTCGTTCGAACAGAACAAGGGGACACTACATGGTTTAAAATCAAGAAGGGAGTGCGTCAGGGTTGTATCCTTTCTCCACACTTATTCAATCTATATGCTGAGCAAATAATCCGAGAAGCTGGACTATATGAAGAAAAACATGGTATCAGGATTGGAGGAAGAATCATTAACAACCTGAGATATGCAGATGATACAACTTTGCTTGCTGAAAGTGAGGATGACTTAAGGCACCTACTGATGAAGGCTGAAGAATACAGTCTGCAGTATGGATTACGTCTCAATATAAAGAGAACAAAAATCCTCACAACTGGACCAATGAGCAGCATCACAATAAATGGAGAGAAGATTGAGGTTGTCAAGAAATTCACATTGCTTGGTTCTACAATCGATGCCAACAGAAGCAGCAGTCAGGACATTAGACGACGTGTAGCAATGGGAAAGTCAACTGCGAAGGAACTGTTTCAAGTGCTGAGGAGTAAGGATATCTCCTTGAGGACTAAGGTGTGCCTGACACAAGCCATGATATTTCCAATCGCCTTGTATGCATGTGAGAGCTGGACAAAGAATAAGGAAGACCGAAGAAGAGTTGATGCTTTTGAGTTGTGGTGCTGGCGAAGAATGCTGAAAGTACCATGGACTGCTAAAAGAACTAACAGATCTGTCCTGGAGGAAGTGCAGCCAGAATGCTCCTTGGAAGCAAGAATGGCCAGACTTCATCTCACCTATTTTGGTCATGTTGTAAGAAGGGACCATTCCCTGGAGAAGGATGTCATGCTTGGTAGGGTGGAGGGTCAACGAAAGAGGGGGAGACCTTCAATGAAATGGATTGATACGGTGGCTGCGATGATGGGCTCAAGTATAGCAGGGATTGTGGGGCTGGCGCAGGGTTGGGCAGTGTTTCGTTCTGCTGTGCATGGGGTCGCTATGAGTCAGAAACGACTTGACAGCACTTAACAACAACAACAACAAATGTTTGATGGATTTGAATTGTGGTGTTGGGGAAGAATACTCAATGTACCATGGACTGCTAGAACAATCAACAAATCTATCTTGGAAGGAGCACAGCTGGAAAGCTCCTTAGAGGTGAGAATAGCCAGACTTCATTTCATACAGTTTGGTCATGTTTTCACAAGGCATCAGCCCCTGGGGAAGGAAATCATGCTCAGTAAAGTAGAGGGCTAGTAAAAAAATGGGAAGACGCTCAACAAGATGGAATGAAAGAGTGGCTACGATGATGAGTTCAACAAAGCAATGATTGTTAGCATGGTACAGGAACAGGCAGTGTTTCATTCTGTTGTACATAGGGTTGCTATAAGTGGAAACCCACTTGAGGGCACCTAACAACAATAAACAGAAGAACTGAAAATCATAACTAGAGAAGCCAGGCATAAAATTGAATGAACATAATATAACTGAATGAAGATAGAGAGTGAAAAACATTAGGAAGTAGAGAGGAATACTATAGAGTTCCTATATCTATCAAAAAGATAAAGCCCTGCTCAGCCCAAGCAGACTTGTTTTATGGAAATGTGGGCCTAGCTGGAAGGCTTCCAACTGTCTGAAATCAGTTCAGTCATGGCCAACACGGCAAAACTGGGACAGACCTGAATTTGTAAAACATAGGTGTACTGAAATAATAACCGGAACGGGAAATATTACAGGTCAAACCCTTGGAATGGGAGACTAAGAAAAAAGCAAAGGGACCCCTTTCAGGAAACTGATGTGGGAGACTGGATTACTATCAGGATTGTAGAGAGCAACACACATTTAAAGCAGTGTGGTGAGCTGGCATATTTGAGGCACTGGTGTTTCCCACTTTGTTGATGAAGATATTTGGTTGCTATGAAATACATATGCTGCCTTTGTTTTCTAAGAGGGAGATTAAGTTTATCACATAGTGTCAACCTGTGATTTTTTCCTGTTCCACTTATCATTATAGTATAATCACATTTTACAAATTTGGGTCCATTTCAGTTTCACTTCATCAGCCATGACTGAACTGGGGAGAAATGGTTTGAATCCCTGACCTAGTTTATCAGATTTTCCAAGAGAATCAATAATTGAATATTAAGTTTTAAAACTCACACAATTTTTTAACAACAAAAAAATCTGGGCTATACAGCTAGGCCATCTGTTGGAAAATCACTGTAGTGAAATTCCTCTAGGTAGTCAACAGAAATATGTTTTGGTTCCAATGATCTAATTTAATACAACAATAAAGTATAGACAACAGAGAAGCATGATTTGACATCTAGTGCATGTTTCTAGAACTCTCTTTAAAAAGTTGGGCTTTTCATAGGAGATCAAAGGATGTCAGACCTTCTGAGTAGGGCCTAGAGCACTGGCAGCATGTGTTGTAGACTAAGGATAGATTCCTTTGCTTTGGCAATTAAATATAGATGACAAGGTTAACATTCTATTTAAAATGGATAATCACAGTCAACACTATTGATTAAACAGAAAATTATCCCATTCTACTCTTACTTCTATTGGAAATCACCATATTTAAATGTTTAATGTTCTGCTTATGTTTATTTGACTGCATTGCTGGCTTCCTTTTTTTCCATTTAGTAAAATATCCACTAACATTTAATCAGAGCAATAACTGACTTTCTGACCAAAGTAAATATACAAGCATATTCTCTCCCTTTTAAAACATGAATAGTAAAGGTATTTATTTAATGTATCTGTAACATCCTATGAAATGACATGCTTTTATATTAGGAAAACAAATCCTGTAACATTATCATATCACTTACCTCAAAATCAACATCTCCACAACAGCTGCATACAAGACAGGGGCCAGTAATTTTTAGTACATCTTCTTTTTTCTCATTTTGAATTGTAAACTTTGGCAGACAGGGATGCCATGTCTGAATAACATAGCCTACTGGAACCCCCGGAGGAGCTTGGATTTCTATCTGCAAAGAGGGGGGAAAAATATGCAATAGTACTAAGTCTAATAACAGCTCTCTTTTATTGAACACTTTCTAAGTGCCAGGTATTGTTCTAAGCAATACATGTACCTTACCTCATTTAATTCAAAATATAACCTCATTAGGTTGGTATTATTATTATCTCTATTTTATAGAGAAGAAAACGAGGAACAGAGAGAATAATTAGCTTGTATCAAATTGTTCAGCTAATCAGTAGAAGAGATGAGAAATAAAATGCAGGCTGGATGCATTGTCTCCATTCTTAACCACTCCTTTACTCATGTGATATACTTTTTTAAGTTGATCTTTCCATGAAAAAATCTCTAAATTAAAAACCTTTAAAGATCACGGTATATATGTTTGAATAGAGCTCTGGTCACCGGCACAGTTCTCAAATATGGTGACAGCAGTGCTGTAGCAGAAAGAACACAGAGTCTGGAGTCATCACTCTGCTTTTCATAAGTTGTGTGACCATGAGAGTACCTCAGTTTTCCCATCTGTAAATTAAGTTTTCATAGGACCTACTCAAAGATCAAATGCTATAATGTGGTGTGTTGATGTGCTCATAACAACAACATACAGATGGAAAGAATTTTCCTAACAATCCCTGAGTTTTTCCTCCAGATATTTCTATGGATATATTACTATAAATAACCTAAAAGACATGGAAAGCAAAGTGATTCATTATGAATAATTTCAGTTATCCTCTCAAAATAAGTGCAGTATTCCAAAAACAAAATAAAACCCACCACCACTGAGTTGATTTGACTCATAGCATCTCCCACTGGTTTTAAACAGTAAATCGTTATGGAAGTAGACTGCTTCATCTTGCTTCTGTGGAGTGGCTGGTGGGCATGGAACACCAACCTTCTGGTTAGGAAGTCAAATGCCTTCAGTACTGTGCAAAGCTCCTTGAGTGCAGTTTTAAATATCAAATGATCCATGCGTTTGTATGCATCAGGTTCTTACAGCAATCTGTGAGATCAAACAGGGCTGGTCTGGAGCCAATGGAGACATGTGCAAGGGCCCAGCTTTCCTTGCTCTACCCTGGTTTTTCCTCTGAAAGTCATATTCTCTATGCATGAGCAGTCAAACAATATGTGCCAAAAGGCATCTGAGGTATCTACCTAGAGGTATCCCTATTATAAAGAAGATTCAAAGATATACATTTTTCTAAAAATGGAGAAATGAAAAGCACAGGAGTTGAGATTTTTCAGAGGAGGACTCTCCTATGTTCACTCCTTAATAGGTTGGCCAGGAAAACAAAATAGCAGGATGAACACATCCACAGGCTCCTGTAATGGTATTCTATGACACTCTCAATGATGTTCCCTAGCTTTGACCAGGGCTCTCACAGTCAATTCTGGTGAGGGACATAACTAACATACTCTGCCCTCTTGGCATCGCCTAGAGATCAAGGAGTCTGGGGTCTGCATGGATGTGCAACCTCATAATGCACACTGCTTACAGAGATGGGGCTAACAGTTCACTGTTTTTCATCTGCTTCATTCCTCTATAGTTTAAAGAATAAACCAAGAGCTTATGGAACATTTTCTCTTAAATGCCATTTGATTATATATGTTCAAAATATAACGGTGCAAATCCATACAGAACTACTTTATAAACTGCTGTGTTAATTGCTCACTGACCTCTTGGAGGCAGCAAGGGCAACAACAGGAGGTACATCTTAATGGTCTCTCTAAAACTATGACTTCTTGGCCCATATTATCAATAATCTTCATGTTAAAAGGCCTAGCAGACCCACAGCAATTTCGGGTACAGCAATCAGTATCTTCTGCTGCAAAGTAAACCCTCTGTCCAAGGCTGTTCTTTAATTCATATTTGTTATTGGTTTCAAAACCTGTTAGAACTGAAAACATAAAACAGGAAATCATTATCAGCAATATTTAAAAAAAAGTACTAATTTGTCCTAAGGTATTATAATATCCAGCTGTACCAATTTTAGATGATATTCAGAAAAATGTCAAGAAAGAACAGAAAAATATTTTAGAGATGGTCCAGAGAGAGAAAAAAAAGGCAAAAAGGAAAGGAGAGGGTATTAAGATTTATAGAAATTAAGAGTCGCCATGTGAGACAAAAAAAGCTAAATCAAATCTTCCTAATTTCATATTCTCATGTCAGAAAGATTGACTTTGCTGCTGAGGGTTCATACACTGCAGCAGGTGGACATGGTGATGCTCAGTTTATAGATAAAATGTCCATTTTCTCAGAACACAGTAACCAGTAAAAGCTGGAAATCGTGTAAGCTGGAAACTTGTTAGAGAAGGAAAACCCAAATATTTCTACTAATAGAAAGTCATAGAAAAAGTCATAGCCTGCATCCTCTGTCAAAGGCAGAAAATTTACCAGACCTGGAAAAACAAGGCAGTCTCATCTAGTTCTCACAGGTTTAATAGCATTTTAAAGAGCTGTGACTATTGTATTTAATTATGGAGGGGAATATAGGATGAGTTCTACATTTATGCTTATGAGATATTACACCAAATAACTTGGGTTTAGAAGATTGTTTTATAAATCATACTTAGATTTTGTGTGTATGTTTGAAGGAAGCTAATGGGAAAGCTTACATATATAAAAGGCAAGAGAGTGAAAATGGAAGATAAATTAGAATATCAGATGTTGTTGTTGTTAGGTGCCGTCGAGTCATCTCCAACTCATAGTGACCCTATGCACAGCAGAACAAAACACCACCAGGAGTAGCAGGATATCCAGGTAAAATGGGGTGGGAGGCAAGGCTAGGCCCCAAGCCTCCTAGAACCAGGAAATGGAGGGAGCAGGAGAGGCCGGGGACCTCCGGAGTGGCAGGATATCCAGGTAAAGGGGAGGGAGGCAAGGGTAGGCCCTAAGCCCCCTAGAGCCAGGAAAGGGAGGGAGCGATGCGGGACCACAGAGTGGCAGGTTCCAGGTAGGAATTAGGTAAGGGGAGGGCACAGAGGTTTCCAACAGCTAAGGGAGACAAACTTGTCTGTCAGTTTGTCATCCTGTGAGACTTGTATGCTGCTGTAAGGCTTGAGGCTCTACTACTGGTGTTTCAGACACCAGCAGAGTTGCACATGGTGCACAGGTTTCAATGCAGCTTACAGACTAAGACAGACTAGGAAGGAGGAGGAAGCCACCCACTTCTCAAAATTTGGCCAGGGAAAACCTTATGAATAGCAGAGAATATCAGATAGGATGTCAAAACCAATAAATAAATAAACTCTGCTACAAACTCATTGTCATCAAATTGATTCTTACTCATAGCAACCCCCATTGAGTTTCCAAGACTGTAGATCTTTACAGAAGCAGACTGCCCCATCTTTCTTCTGTGGAGCAGCTGGTGGGTTCAAACCATTGACCTTTTGATTAGCAGTCAAATGCCTTAATCACTATGCTATTAGAGCTCATTAGATAGGGCCCAGGAGGATCCTTATTTATTCCAGCAGTAACTGTTTAGAAGTGAAAGACAGATTTTGGGCAAGGCAAAAATGTGGTTGGGAACCAGGGGTACAACTCACAGACTATCTGAACCACTAGTATCCAAAGGGAGCTCTGCATTTTAGAAGAGCTATTCTCTGCTTGGGTGGAAACAGAGGAGCACCACATGCTGACACTAATACAGCATTTTACCAAAGGGCTTCCTGTATTGAACAACACATTGTTTAGAACCAGGAAGGGTCAAGGGTTTGGAACCAGGAATAGCAATTAAAGGTCTCACTTGTCCCCAATCCTAAATAAGTTGGGAGAGCTCTGGTGGCATACTGCCTAAGGCATTTAAGTGCTAACCAGAAGGGTGGTGGTTCAAACCCACCAGCCACTCCTC